TCATTTGTTTTTGTTGTTGTTGTTGTTGTTGTTTGAGTTGGAGTCTCAATCTGTCCCCAGGCTGGAGTGCCATGGCACACTCACAGTCACCCCAGCATAGACCTGCTGGGCTCCGGTTATCCTTCTGCCTCAGCCTTCCAAGTAGCCAGAACTATAGGCGCACGCTACCACGCCCAGCTAATTTTTGATTTGTTGTAGAGATGAGATCTCACCAAGTTGCCTAGGCTGATCTCAAGCCCTCGGGCTCAGGCAATCCACTTGCCTCGGTCTCCCAAAGTGCTGGGGTTACAGGCTGAACCACCGAGCCCGGCCATCATTTTTTATTTTCTTAACTACCAATGAGGTTGAGCACATTTTCCTGTTTTGGGGCCAGTTGGATATCTTCTTTTGTAAGATCCCCATTCAAGTGTTTTGCTTGATATTCTATTGGGCTACTTGTCTCTTTCTTATTGGTTGGTAGGAGTTGTTTGTATATTCTGGAAATGAGCCTTTTATTGGATATATATTTTGCAAATATTTTTTCCCATTCTATGACTTATCTTTTCATTCTCTTAATAGTGGCTTTGGATGATCAGAAGTTTTTAACTTTAATGTTATTCAATGTATTGACCCTTTCCTTTATGGTGATTACGCCTTGTTTTGTTTGTCTTTTCTTACCCCAAGGTTATGAAGGCGTTTTATATCATATTTTACAAGCTTTATTGTTTTGCCTTTTATATTAACATCTCAATGTACAGCAAATTGACTTGCGGGTGTTTGTGTCAGGCAGGGGTCAAGTTACATTTTTCTATGAATATCAACTAACCTAGAACCATTTATTGAAAAGACTGCCCTCTACTGCTCTATGGTGCCAACTTTGTCATAAATCAAGGGATCATATATGCATAGAGTGCTTACTGAACTCTATTCTGTTCCCTTGGTCTATTTATCTTCCCTTGCATCAATGCTTTCCTATCTTAAATACTGTAGCTTTATAAGTCAATATCTGGTAGAGGAAATCTCTTCTTGTTTTGGTTATTCTTGGCCCTTTGTAATGCTAAAGAAATATTAGAATGAGCCTGTCAAATTACACACACACAAACATATTGGGATTTTATTAGAATTTCATTTTAGGCCTAGCGCAGTGGCTCATACCTGTAATCCCAGAACTTTGGGAGGCCGAGGCAAGAGGATTACCTGAACCCAGGGGTTCGAGACCAGCCTGGGCAACTTGGTGAGACTTCATTTCTACTATATATATATATTTTTTTTTTTTTTTTTTTTAATTTGCCGGCATGGTGGTGTACACCTGTAGTTCCAGCTACTTGGAAGGCTGAGGTAGAAAGATCGCCTGAGCCTAGCAGTTCAAGGTTGCAGTGGCCGTGAGCATGCCACTGCACTCTAGCCTGGGCAATGGAGTGAGACTCCAACTCAAAAAAAAAAAATTAGAATTTCATTTTAACTCTAACACTTTTGGAAAATTGTATATCATTGCAATTCATGAACATGGCACATTGCTCCATTTAGTTAAGCCTTCTTTAATTTCTTTCAGTGATGTTTTATAGATTGCTGTGTAGAGGTCTTGCACGTTTTTCATTAGATTCATTACTACATATGTGACATGTTTGCTGATATAAATGGTATCCCCTTTTTAATTTTTTTTGCTCTTTATTGCTGGTATATAGGAAAAACAACTGATTTTTTAATATTGACCTTGTGTCTCACAACCATGGTAAACTTTTTTTTTTTTTTGAGTTGGAGTCTCACCCTGTCGCCCAGGCTGGAGTGCAGTGGCAGGTTCCCGGCCACTGCAGCCTCGACCTGCTGGGCTCAGGTGATCCTTTCACATCAGCCTTTCAAGTTGCCGGAATTACAGGTGTGCGCTACCACACCCAGTTAATTTTTTGATTTATTGTAGAGACAAGGTCTCACCATGTTGCCCAGGCTGGTTTCGAACTCGCGGACTTAGACAATCCTCTCACCTTATCCTCTCAAAGTGCTGGGATTATAGGATTGAGCCACCGCACCCAGCCAACTTACTTATTAATTTTATTAATTTTTCTAGAAATTAGTTTGAATTTTTCTATACACAAAAATTATGTCATCTGTAAATATTTACATGTTTATATTTTCCTTTCTAATTCTTATGTCTTTTATTTATTTTTCTTGCTTTAGTGTACTGGTCAGGGCCTCCCACACAATTTGAATAAAAGTGATTATAGTGGATATCTTTGTCTCACTTCTGATCTTAAATGGAAAGCATTCAGCATTTCTCCACTAGATATGATATTTGCCATAGGTTTTTGTAGATAACATATATTAAATTATGGAATTGCCTTTATAGTCTTAGCAAAGTTAAGCTAGCCAAATTTCTCTGTCATAATGCTTTTGGGGGCATCTGTTTAAACGATCATATAATTTTTTTCCAATTCCCTGAAATATGTGTATAAAATTAGAAAATTCGTGGTTTTTTTCTTAACTATTTTATAGAATTCACTGGACCTGGAGATTTTTTGTGAAAAGCTATTAAATGATAAATTCAATTTATTTACTAGCCATGAAATTGTTCCGATTTTCTATTTTTTCTGTGTAAGTTTTAATGACTTCTATTTTTCCAGGAATTTTTTATTTATCAAAAATTTTAAATTTCTTGGTATATAGCAGTTCTTCATAATACCTTCTTATTTATTTTATTTTATTTTATTTATTTTATTTTTTTTTTTAGTTGGAGTCTCACTCTGTCACCCAGACTGGAGTGCAGTGGCCGCTCCCAGCCACCGCAGCCTCGACCTGGGCTCCGGCGATCCTTCTGCCTCAGCCTTCCAAGTAGCTGGAACTACAGGCACGTGCTACCACGCCCGGCTAATTTTTGATTTACTGTAGAGATGAGGTCTCGCCAAGTTGCCCAGGCGGGTCTCGAACCCGCGGGCTCAGGCAATCCACTCACCTCAGCCTCCCAAAAGCATGGGATTACAGGCTGAGCCACCGAGCCCGGCCTTATTAATTCTAATCTGTGACCTGTACCGTAGTGCGTTCTTTTGTTCCTGATACCCTTTATGTGCCTTCTATACTTTTTTTCCTGGATTGGTCTCAGGGAGTGATCTAGTTTTTCTAGTTTTTCAAAACCAAGTTTTAGCTTTGTTGATCCTCTCCGCTGTCGTTCTGTTTTCTGTTTCATTGATTTCTGCTCTCATCTCTATTATTTCCCTCCCTCTGCTTCCTTTTAAGACTAATTTGCTATCTTTTCTAACTTTTTGAGATGAATGTCTAGCCCCTCTTTTCTTATACGTGAATTTAAAGCTATAAATTTCTCTCTAAGCACATCCCACAGGATTTCAGATGTAATATTTTCATTACTGGTCAAACCAAAATATTTTCTTTCTCTTTTTTTTTTTGAATTGGAGTCTCACTCTGTTGCCCAGGCTGGAGTGCAGTGGCACACTCACAGTCACCACAGCCTCGACCTGCTGGGTTCAGGCAATCCTGCCTCAGCCTTACAAGTAGCTGGAACTACAGGTGTGCACCACCACACCCGGCTAATTTTTTTTATTTATTGTAGAGATGAGGTCTCACCAAGTTGCCCAGGCTGATCTTGAACCCTGGGGCTCAGGCAACCAAAATATTTTCTAATTTCCACTGTGAATTTATCTTCAACCCATGGGTTTTCCTCCCTCTACAGAGCATTGTGGCCAAAGCTTAGTGGGCATAAAAAGAACGATCTGAAGGCCTTGTCAAAATACAGGTTTTGGAACCTCATTTCAAACCTATTAGAATAGTATTTCTGAGAAGTAGGCCTGGGCATCTACATCTCACAAATTCTCCTGGAGATTCAGCCGCAAGTGGGTTCCAGGTCCACAGTTTGGTGTCAGAGCATGTGTACCCTAAGGGCAGGAAGCAAGTCTGATTCACCTGGATCAAAGCCATGTTTAATAAATGAATTAATCAATAGATGAGGGAAGGAAGTAAAATAAAATGTCTTATATCAAGAAAATTGGAATTCTCGAATGCTGTAAACTAGGAGAACCACTGCAGCATCCTTTGGTCCAATTTAATTTCATTCAAAAGAGAAATATATTTTCTTTGTTTTCATATCTCTGCCTACCAGGAGTTCTCTTCCTCACCTGTCCTATTCTGCTGTCCTGGGACTTGGCCTTAAGTATGGGTTGGTGCCTGTCTACTGGCCCAGAGAAAGTAATGGTGGCACAGGAGATATCCAGAGAGGTACTATTCAGAATTGGGCAGCGTTCCTTCCCCACCTTCACCCCCAGCCCACCTCCAGTACTTGCTGGGAAAATGCCCATAGAACCCCATTCTAAATAAGGTTATCTACCCCACCTCTCAGAGGTCTGAGAATGCCTCCCATCCCAAAGCTTTTGAGAAACTTCCCCTGGACCTTTGTCCCACCCAGACCCTAGAGTTCCCTACATCCGTGCCTCATCTGCACTTGTAGCCCGTGTGAGTTGCTCTCTCAGCAGCCTCTTGGCCATCTCGCGCCACCTCCACGCATGCCTCTCTCGAGCATCTCGGGCCCGAGCCTGACTTCCCTAGCTAGCCATTGTCCTGGCAGCACAACCACCACGCTAGCATCCCCACCCAGTCAGCCAGCCGGCCGGCTGCTCCCGGGCTTCGCCAGCTCCCCCTCCCCGCCCCGCCCCGCCCCAGGGAGGACCAGGCTGGCAGCTAGGAGTCTCCCTGCCTGCTCAGCCTCCCTCCTTCCCTCCCTCTCCTTTCCTGCCTCCCTCCCTCCTCCGCCCGCCCCTGAGGCAGGGACCGTGCAAATCGAGGAGAGGGGGGACGGACTGGCCGGATGGGGTCCGGCTTAGGGCCCCGTACCCCCCACTGATGCTCTATCCAGGCTAGATGTCTCCAGCATCAGGGGACCTGGATTTGTGTGCACTGGGGTGGTTCTCACGCCAGGAAGGTCCCTCTGGCAGGTCCGTGGTGCCCTCGTTTTGCATCAGGACCCCCCTCGGATGCTCTGAGCCACCCTCCTCAACCCGGATCTAAAACCTGGGACACAGCTATCAGGCCAGCCTCTCTCTCCACCCCACCCCCTCTTTCTGGCGTCCATCCCCTCCCGAACACCACCTCTGCTGCTGCCTCTGGCTGTGGACCTGCACCTCTTCCCCATCCCCGCCAGACCTGCGGAGCTGAGTGAACCTGGATGAGAGCCCCCACCCACAACCTGGGGCTCTCCCAGGCCATGGCCCGCGTGCTCCCAGGGAGGAGCCCCGGACCCTGAACATCTGCTAGAGGTTTGGCAGAGGCCCCGAGGGGACCGTGTCTTCTGAGGACAAAAGGCGGCGGCCAGCAGGCAGACAGGGAGGTGGGGAGGGGGTGCAGGAGAGGACTGGCAGCCAGGAGGGCAGACGGGTAGCAGGGGCCAGCGCTGGCCCCCCTCCCAGCTTGGCAGAGGCATGAAGATGGGGGTGGGAGTGTGTAGTGGGGGAAGCACCTGCCGGGACCCCCACCTGCCAGCTAGTTGGATACCCCAAGGCTGTGTGCTGTCCACCTGGTGTTCCCCAACACCCTCAGCCCTGCCCAGTGCACCCCTCTGGTGCCTGCTTTCCCTGATGCCTGCGATTTAGACCAGCCCGGCTGTATCCACGGCAACAGAAGCAGGAGTGTCACTGGCCGCCAGACACTGAGGGTCCCACAATGTGACCTGGGCTGTGATTTATCCTGGGTGAGACAGCTTGAGCCCCCATCCTGGATTCCAAGATATTCCTGCTGAGAAAGCCCAGGTAAGCAGTCAGCATCTCTCCACCAGGGATGGGGGCTGGGAGTTCTCTTCTTTCACCCCACACATATTTCAGAGTCTCCATCACTGCCATGCTCTCTGTCTCTCTCTGACTCTGTTAGTCTCTCTCTCTCTCTCTCTCTGTCTCTCTCTCTCTGTCTCTCTCTCTCTCTGTCTCTCTCTCTCTGTCTCTCTCTGTCTCTGTCTCTCTGTGTGTGTGTCTCTGTGTGTGTGTGTGTGTGTGTGTGTGTGTGTGTGTCCATTACAGGGTCTACATGGGCCTGGAGACTTCTCACCTTCCCCAATCTCAAATGTCCCATGAGAAAGGGAACCACCACCTGTTTCTTCTCACAGGGTCTGTTTGTATCACTGTGGTCGTGTTTGGGCATGAAACTGTGTTTATATTTCCTTGTGTGCTAGCTGTGGAAGGGATGCCTGGCAGCCCGGCTGTGTTCCCCTCACAATGCCTGCACCCTGGGCAGGCTCAGCCTCTTGCAGCTGCCTCCTCTTTTTCTCCCTCCTCCTCCACTCTCCTCCAGGATCCTTGGCCTGCTTGCAGTGTGTGTGTGTGTGTGTGTGTGTACCTTTGTAGTAAGCAGGTGGGTAAACATGACAGACAAACTGCTCCCGGTCCAGACCACCCCCCACCTTCCTTCCTTCCTTCTTTCCTTCTTTCTTCCCTCCCTCCCTCCCTTCTCTCTCTCCCTTCCTCCCTCCCTCCCTTCTCCTCCCCTATCTCTCCCCACAGGTAGCACAGACTTTTGCTCACTCACCACTGAAAATATTGCTGACTGCTGGCTAGGGAGAGGAAGCCACTGTAGGGCTAAAGGAAGGTGAGATGGAGGTTGGGAGCACTTCCAGGCCCTAGGCTGCCTGATTGCTCTGTGGGGGCAAAGACCTAGCCCTTTGACAGCTTGCAGGAGCCAGGCACAACATGGCCATTCCCAGAGTGTGGGCCCCAGTCTCCATCACAAGGCTCTCTATCTCTGTTTCAGATGCCTATGTTGTGCCTGGGACCCCCAGATCTCATGGCCTTGTGCACAATGGCCAGAGGTCCCCATATCTGGAGGGGCAGGAAAACCTAGTACATGGAGAATGTGGATTCTCCCAGGGACACTTCTACCAACTACTAGCTCTGCGACTTTAGTGGAAGCATGCCATTTATTGAGCCTCGGTTTTCCCATCTGTCAAAGAGACTGGTAGCCCTTCCTTCATGAGCGTGTGTAGGGATTGAATGAGTTGGTGCATGTAAATAATGTGCATAGAGGTGGCACTGAAGTAATGTCAGCAAAGCTCATGGTCAATATTGTTGCTGATTATTTATGATTAATAATGTTATTGATTATTTGGGGGGATTGGTCCTTCTTTTCCAGGGTCTTAGCAGACATCTGGGGAGGGCATCAGGTGGGGAAATAATAAAGGAGTGGAGGGGAAGCAGGAAAAGCTCCCTATTGTCACTTCTCATTTGTAGGGAATGATAAGTGGTAGTTATGGGCAGAGCCTCCCATCCTCACCCCACTCTAGACTTCTTTCCCTGCACTTGCCCCTGTTTGTGCACACACATACACACACATGCAGTGGCTTAAGCCCCCATGAGCCAGTAGAGGCCTGGCTTGCAGCCAGCAGCATTCCTGGCCCTGGTGATGTATGCGTCTCCCCGTTGAGGGGAGACTTGGCAAGAGTTTGGCCTGTGGTCAGTGGTTGGCAGGGCCTGGAGACAAGCCTAAAGCTTCTGAGATCACAGGGCTTCAGGTAGAGCTGGGGTGTGGCTCATATACCAGCCAGACCTGTGGGGGACGGGTCCCAGGGAATTGCTTGCCTAGAGCCTGAGGTGAGGGAAGAATGGGGTCTGCTGGCTGGTTTCCAGGTGTGGACATATGGTGAAATACAAAGTGAGGAGTCCGTGGCCAGGGGAAGAGGAGGAGGGGAAAAACTGAGGCCCGAAGATCCTCTCTGTAGGCGAAGGGAGGGGTGGAGCTTTTAGGTATAGAGTAGACTTTTCTGAAGAAGAATTTGGTGGAAGGGAGAGGACCCAGTCTATGGTCTAGAGGTATGGTGTTCTACTGAAAATGTGTGTCTGAGTGTGCAGTCTGTGAGTGTAACTGTTCGTGGTCACTGTGGATGTATATTCGTGTGTGTGAGCAGGCCATGTAATGGCATGTGAGTGAGTGTGTGGGTGTCTGGGTAGGCTTGTGTGTGTACAGGGGATGAGTATGACTTTGCATGTCTGTCTGGGTAAGCAAATGGGCATGTTGGAATCTGAGCCTGAGTGTGGGTGTGTTCCTCTGAGCCAATAGGCCTGTTGAATGTCTGGTTGTATATGTGTGTGTATCAGTTTGTCTTTGTGTGTACATGTCTGTTGTATATGTATGAATGTATTGGTTTCAGAATGCCAGGGTATGCATGTCCAATTAGGTGAATGCCTAGTTGTATCTGATTTGGTATACTGGTGTATACCCATATGTGTATGAGTGTAGGTGCACCTAAATGGTGTGTTTGTGAGTGTAAGGACGTGTGTGTGTTCGTGCATGTATGAGAGAGTATATGTGTGACCATGCTTCTGTGTGGGCATGTCTGTCCTATATTTATGAGTAGGCCTGTGAACTTGCGTGAGTGTCTATGTAGATTCTCCAGCATTTAGAATTACATATATGTCTGTGTGTGCATGTTTGAGTGTGTATCACCTATAGACAAACCCGTACGTCCACATCTGATTAGGGAAATGTGAGTGTAGGTAGGCATTTTAGTATAAGGAGATCGTGTGGATAGAGGAGAGTATGTAAATGAAAATATATTTTGTGGGTATGCACATTTGATTATGTGTATGAGTATGGCTGTGGGATGTGTATGCCTGTACACACACACACGGCTGTGTGCATAGGTGAATCAATGTATTGGTATATATGTCAAATTGTGTGTGTGTGTGCACTGTTGGGTATGAGTGCATGTCTGACTGTAGCATGCATGAGTAACTACATACATGTAGTGCATGCATGACTGTGAGTGTGTGTATGCTAGTATGTGTGAACATCTGTGTGTGTTTCATTGAACGTGTCTGTGTATATGGGTGTGTGTTTATGCACATTTAAGTGTGTGTGTGTGTGTGTGTGTGTGTGTATGTGAATATGCCTGTGTATATGGCTGTTTGAATGTACAGGTGTGTGGATGTACCAGTTTGTACAGTTCTAATTATATGCGTGTGTGTTTGTGTTTATATATCTTTGTTTTGGAGCTTGAGTTGTAGAACAATGTAAGTAAATGTATGTACATGCCATTCTCGACCTCTAAGTGTGTTTGAGTGTGTATATATTTAGGAGAATGCCTTTGCCTGTGTGTGTCTGTGATGAGTGTGGGTCAATTCTTGTGCAAGCCAAGTGTAGTGGCTTATGCCTATAATCCCAACACTTTGGGCGGCTGAGCTAAGAGGACTGCTTGAGGCCAAGAGTACAAGACCAGCCTGGGCAACATAGTGAGACCTCGTGTCTACAAAAAAATTTAAAAATCAGCCAGGTGTGGTGGCGTGTGTTTGTAGTCTCAGCTATTCAGAAGGCTGATGTGGAAGGATCACCTGAGCCCAGGAGTTTAAGGCTACAGTGAGCTGTGATCATGCCACTGCACTCCAGCCGGGGTAACAGAGTGAAACTCCAGATCAAAAACAAAAAAAATTCTTCCTGTGCAGATGTACAGGTGTGTATATGTGAGTGTATTTCTATGTGTGCATGAGTGTGAATATGCCTTTGTGTCTAAGTCCATTTGTGGGAATAAATGATTTTTTTGTTATTTTTGTAGCTTCTCTATGGGTATATGAGCATGTGGGAATATACTTGGTGTAATGTGATAGTGTAACTGTATTTTGTAAATATATTTGCATTTCTATGTCTGTGTACATATGGGAATTGAGTGGACAACTCTATGTGCATGTAAATATGCTCAGAGGTGTACATGTCCAGTTGTGCGTACAAATCTATGTGTTAGAATTTCTGCATATGTATAATCATCTCACTTATAAGCATGTATCTGGGTGTTTCTTTGTGTAACTATGTCTACACAGGTATGTGAGTGTATGTAAATATACTTATGTGATCATGTGTGAGTGTGTGTGTGTACACATTTGGGAGCTTTCCTCTCTAGATCCATGTTTGCTCATCATCTCCTTGGGTGTGATACAGACTGTCTATGAATGTGTGAAACAATGCCTGTGTGCACACCTGTGTTTGTGAGTGAACGTCTGCTATTCATGGGCATTATGTCATATGAATGTGTGTCATGTATGTATGCCTGTGTTTGAGAGTAAATGAATGTACACGTGTGTGAGCAAATACAATATGAGTGTGCATTTCTGTGAATATACCCATGTATAGAAATAAGTGTAGGCATTTGTGTATGTGCCTGTCTGATGGTGGGTGTGAGAGAGAGATACTTGGCCTTGGTTCTGTGCACATGGGCCTTATCAATGAGAGAGTGATAAGGAAGGGTACTTATGAATCTGTGTGACTCTGGGTGTACCTCAGCATTTATTCATGTGTGTGTCTGAGAGTCAGTGATGCCCTGCTAGACCATGTCTGTCTGTAACTGTGTAGGTATCCTACAGATTGGCAGGCTATGACACCTGAGCAGTCCATGATCCCCCTTCTAGGGCCTTTCTGGCCTTGACCATGTGTTGGGCTTTTGTGGGAGTCCCAGGACAATTCCTGTCATCATTTACACACAAGAAGAGGGAGCCAATCATGGATGATGTCCTACTGCGGAAAAGAGGCCTGTGACTTCTTTAGAAAAAGATTCCTGGAAACACAAAGACCTCCCTTCTCATTCCCCTACCATCAAAGGCTCAGGGCAGAATGGCATTATATGATATTGAGGGTTGGCAAATGGTTTTACTGAGAGCACCCAAATTATGCCATCCAGGTAGAAATTTAGATGTGAATGTGTATGTGTAAGAGAAAGTATATCTTAGTAGCGTGTGTGTGTGTGTGTGTGTGTGTGTGTGTGGTGAGAGAGAGAGAA